TAGAGTCATATTGGAGACTTAATAAAGCTTAATAACAATTAGTTATTACTGTGGAATAAACTGTATAATATTTATTATATTATCAAGCAGAGTTATAGTATATTACTGCTAACATATTTACATGTAACTCAACTTAAACTGAACAGGTTTAAGGTTTATTCTGTTTATTTTAGTTGAACTAAGATCAAGTGGTTGATGAGCTGCTTCCCTCCATCAGGAAGCTCATCTTTAAATCAACTATTTTCACCTTTATTTCACCTAAAACCTGTTTTTCTATCTGTTGTAATGTGTATTCTAATGAGTGCTCTTCAATGACGTCATTAATGGGTGTGACTATAAATTGTGGAGCATGTGCAATGTTGGTGAATGAAGGAAAAATAAAGTGGTGGCGTGTGACGTGTCGCCCAAGGAAACAACTTGGTGTAGTCGTGTGCTGTTATTCTCCGACTGTTCCCTGCCCTTATGATGACAGCGCCAACAGGTTATGGGCCCAGGAGGGAGATGGGAAGTCGATGGCAAAGATTGTGCTTTGATGGAGATGAAAGAAATTATGAGCTGTGGGAGGCAAAGTTTCTGGGACATCTCCGGCTGCACGGCTTGAAAGAAACAATACTGCGTAAGGTGGAGCCGAATGCAGATGAAGATGAAGATGACGACTCTGATAAAAACGAGGAAGCCTACGCCGAGCTGATCCAGTGTCTAGATGACAAGAGCTTGTCTCTAGTTATGAGAGAGGCGGCAGATGACGGCAGGAGGGCGTTGCAGATCCTGCGAGATCATTATGCGGGCAAAGGAAAGCCGCGGGTAATTAGCCTCTACACAGAACTGACATCCCTCCAGAAAGCTGCCAGCGAGACTGTCACAGACTATATTATTCGGGCTGAAACTGCCATTACAGCGCTAAGAAATGCTGGAGAGACGCTGAGTGATGGACTGTTGATAGCCATGACTTTGAAAGGTTTGCCTGAACCATTTAAGCCATTTGTTGTTCACATAACTCAAAGTGATGATGACAAATTAACATTTGGTGACTTCAAAGTTAAGTTGAGAAATTATGAAAGCACCGAAAAGTTAAAAGTTAACATGGATGAAGATAATGTGATGACAGCCAGTGGATTCTCAAGCAAAGTGATGCAGAGACAAAAAACAAACCCAGAGTTTACGTGTTACAGCTGTGGCCAGAAGGGACACAAAGTGCGACAATGTCCGACGAACTTTAAAGCACAGAGACAATGGTGCAGTTTCTGTAAAAACTCCAGTCATAAAGAGAGCAACTGTCGAAGAAAGAAGAAAGAAAGTGTGAAACGGGCCATCGAAGGGGATGATCACTCGTTTGTTTTCAAGATGAGCGACAGCCAGATGAGCGGCTTGAAACAAAGAGGACTGATGGTAGACACCGGTGCAACGTCTCACATAATTAATGATCTAAGCAAGTTTAAAAAGTTTGATGATGCCTTCCGACCGGAGGAACACTTCGTGGAGCTTGCTGATGGGACGAGGACAACTGGCGTGGCACAGAAGAGAGGCGATGCAGAGGTGTGGCTGCGAGACACCGAGGGACGGAACGTGAAGGTGGCGATAACGAGGGCGCTGTACATCCCCACCTACCCCCAGAGCATCTTCTCTGTTAAAGCAGCGACGGCAAAGGGAGCCTCAGTCAACTTTCAACAAGGACATGATCAACTCATCTGCAAGGATGGAACCAGGTTTGACATTAACGTGTACAATAGACTTTATTTCCTTGATGTTCTCGATGAAAATGACTTTGCTGACAAAGAGGACGATAAAGTTTTGGGTTGCTATGACATTCAAGAGTGGCACAGGATTTTAGGTCACTGTAATTTTCAAGATGTATTAAAACTAGAAAATGTTGTGAAAGGTATGAAAATCAAAGGGAAGGTTGATAAAACTAAACTAGACTGTGAAACGTGTATTAAAGGGAAATTTACCCAGAGTAGAAATAGACAAGCTGATGCAAAAGCTAAAACGGCCCTTGAGCTAGTGCACACGGATCTAGCTGGCCCTATTGAGCCTGCTGCAAAAGAAGGATTTAGGTATTCACTTGCATTTACGGACGATTTTTCAAGTGCAATATTTGTCTATTTTCTAAAAGCTAAAAGTGACACAGTCAGAGCTACTGAAAGGTTTATTGCAGATGTAGCCCCCTATGGAAAAGTAAAGTGCATTAGATCAGATAACGGCACTGAGTTCATGTCAAGAGATTATCAGTCTTTATTGAGTAAAAATGCTATTCGACATGAAACATCTGCGCCGTATTCTCCCCATCAAAATGGGACAGCTGAAAGAAGCTGGAGAACACTGTTTGAGATGGCCAGGTGTTTGCTGATTCAGAGTAATTTGCCTAAAGAATTATGGACTTATGCTGTGATGACTTCTGCAGTTATACGCAACAGGTGTTTTAATAATCGTCTGGGGCAAACGCCGTACTACATGTTGACAGGCAAGAAACCTGATCTTTCTAAAATGAAGGAGTTTGGAACAGTGTGCTACTCTTACAAACAAAATAAGAAAAAGTTAGACCCAAGGTGTGATGAAGGAGTTTTTGTTGGTTATGATAAAAACAGCCCATCATATTTGATTTATAATCCAGTGACAGGAAGGGTGTGTAAACACAGGTTAGTCAGATTTCTAACTAAACCTGAAAATGAATGCCAAACTCAGACTGAACCAGAGGAGTTGGAGGATGAGTATTACAGAAAAACTGTTCCTGTTAAGTCAGAGTTAAAAGTAGAACAGCAGGTGTCAGAAGGAACAAAAGAGATGCGTGCTGAACCTTCAAGTGTGGGGAACACAAATCTCAGGCAAGATGAAGAACATTGTCTACGACGCTCCAAAAGAGAGAAAAAAGTGCCTCTGTATTTAAAGGACTACGAATGTAAGGCAGAGAGTGATGATTTTGCCACGGAAAATTTTGACAGTGTTGATTATTGCTATCGTTTAGTGTGTAATACACCACAAAGTTTTAAAGAGGCCCTGACTTCACCTGAATCTGAGAAGTGGATAGAAGCTATGGAGGAAGAGGTTGAATCCTTGAAGGAAAATAACACATTTACTCTGACCACGCTGCCAGAAGGTAAAAATGCAGTGGGGGGTAGATGGGTTTATACCATCAAGGAGAATGCAGATGGAGCTGAGACTTTTAAAGCCAGATATGTGGCAAAAGGCTACAGCCAGGAAGCTGGTATAGATTATGGGGAGACATTTGCACCAACAGCTAGCATGACGTCTATACGCAGCTTGATGCAGATGGCAGCTCAGTATAATCTGAAATTACATCAGATGGATGTTAAAACAGCCTATCTACACGCTCCTATTGATTGTGAGGTGTATATAGAACAGCCTGAAGGTTTTATGGTTGACTCAGAATTTGGTGAAAAACAGTTTCTTAAACTTAACAAATCGTTGTATGGTTTAAAACAATCTGGACGCAACTGGAATAAGATGTTATCTGATTATTTGTCTGAAAACGGTTTTGTACCAAATGAAGCAGATCACTGTGTTTATACAAAACATACAGCAAATAATAGAGTGATTCTAGTCATTTGGGTTGATGATCTTATTATAGCAACAAGTGAGGATTCTCTAATGGACAGTGTTAAAGACATGCTGAAAGCAAAGTTTAAGATGAGAGATATGGGGCCGCTTAAACATTTTTTGGGCATTGATTTTACACAGACAGAGGGAGAAATAAAAGTTAGCCAGAAAAGGCACATAACTAAAATACTGGAGAAATTTGGTATGTCTGAATGTGGTACTAGATGCACTCCATGTGAACAGAAGTTAAACTTTGAAAGTGAAAGCAAACTTGTAGACCCAAGATTGTATCGTGAGCTTATAGGAAGCCTAATATATCTCATGATGTGCACAAGACCTGATATTAGTTGGGTTGTAAGTAAACTCTCACAATATTTGTCACAACCAAGGGAGTGTAACTTGGTAACAGCAAAACATGTGTTGAGATACTTAAAAGGGACAATAGACAAGAGTTTATGCTTTAAGAGGAGCGAGCAGAAACTTCAGCTCGTAGCATATAGCGATGCAGACTGGGCTACTGATCAGAGTGACAGGAGAAGCGTTACGGGTTATTGTTTTAGCCTTAATAAAAATGGACCAGTTATCTCATGGAAGTCAAAGAAACAACAAACGGTGGCTCTGTCTACATGCGAAGCAGAGTATATGGCATTGGCAGCGACAACACAGGAAAGTTTGTATCTTGTACAGTTGTTGGGTGGAATGGACAAAGACTGCATGTATATGCCAGTTACAATATTTGAGGACAATCAAGGAGCAATAGCTTTGTCAAAGAACCCAGTATTTCGTCAGAGATGTAAACATGTTGATATCAAGTATCATTTTGTCAGATCTGCATTTTATGATGGAAAAATAAACATTGTATACTGCTCAACAGCAGATATGGTTGCGGACGTTTTTACCAAACCTGCCACAAAGCCAAAACTGGGAAAATTTATGCATTATATGTTTGGAATGTAAAATAACTTGTTTTAAATGTTCAAAAAAAAAAAAAAAAAAAAAAAAAAAATTGGAATGACGATTGTATAGTGCAAGAGCAAGTGGGGGTGTTGTAATGTGTATTCTAATGAGTGCTCTTCAATGACGTCATTAATGGGTGTGACTATAAATTGTGGAGCATGTGCAATGTTGGTGAATGAAGGAAAAATAAAGTGGTGGCGTGTGACGTGTCGCCCAAGGAAACAACTTGGTGTAGTCGTGTGCTGTTATTCTCCGACTGTTCCCTGCCCTTATGATGACAGCGCCAACACTATCTTTTATAAAAGATTAAACAGACACACCTGCTTCATCTGATGGAGGAAGCCTAAACCGCTGCGTCATCTCCAACCGTAGGGAAATGTATTTCACTATTTAAACAGTCTGAGTGACATTTCTAACTGAAATCTCCTGCTTTAGCAGCAGCTGTGCCGCGTGCTCCCGTAAGCTAGCATGACGTCAGGCAGGCTCACCTTGAAACGTTGCTCTGAGTCTTTATAAAATCCCGCCGTCCATAGCCAGCTGCTTACTGTCCGCGCGCTCTGATAACACTGAGGAGCTAATGAAGATAAAAACCCTGATATTTTCTAAACACGTGGAGAAAAAAACACTGCGACGGTATAAAGCAGCAGCCCTCCATTAGAGCAGCCAGGGTTACGGGCAGCCCCTCCCCTAATTACTTCCGGTTTGGTAAGCAGGGGAAAAAGGAACAGGCTGTACAAAATATTTGACACCAAGTTCATCTCTAAAAACGTTAGACAACATTCACTTTCAGGCTTTGACATTACAGGGGCTTTTAAAACAACTCCAACGGCAGCATTACAGGTAGAAATGGGAGAAATGCCACTTGAGTTGAGAAGAATTCAGTTATCTCTGACCTATTGGGCTAATTTACAGCGCCATAGTGAAGATCATCCTGCACAAAACACTTGGAAATGGACAATAGGGAGAAAAAAAAGCTTTGGGTGGACAGTTAAACAAAAAGCAATGGAGTTAGAATGAATAAAGTTCAGTCCAACAGTAGCACTGCCAGCAATAGCACCTTGGATTCTCCCTGAAGCAAAAGTAGATCTGACACTATTACAAAAGGGAAACAAGGTCAGGGGGTTTATTTTGAATTCAAATACAATTCAGGAATATATTAATAGTTACTATACTGTAGTTGCATTCAGATCTATACAAATGCATCAACATGTTTAGATAACAAGGTAGGAGTATCTTTTATTGTTTCAGAGTTTCATATAACAGTAGGAAGAGGACCAGTGATAATATATCAGTATACACAGGATAAATGCTAGCAATTTTGTTTGCAGTAAAATGGGTAGAGGAAATTACGGGAGAGGATTAGGGCCACTGAAAAAAAAAAAAAAGTGAACTGATTCTTAAATTTTATTTCAGTTTATCATGGGGAAAAAAATGTCAGAATTCTGACTTTAATCTCAGAATTCTGACTTTTTTTCCTCAGAATTCTGACTTTAATCTCAGAATTCTGACTTTTTTCTCGGAATTCTAACTTTAATCTCAGAATTCTGACTTTAATCTCAGAATTCTGACTTTTTTCAAAGAATTCTGACTTTAATCTCAGAATTCTGACTTTAATCTCAGAATTCTGACTTTTTTCTCGGAATTCTAACTTTAATCTCAGAATTCTGACTTTAATCTCAGAATTCTGACTTTTTTCAAAGAATTCTGACTTTAATCTCAGAATTCTGACTTTAATCTCAGAATTCTGTCTTTTTTCTCAGAATTCTGAAATTAATCTCAGAATTCTGACTTTAATCTCAGAATTCTGACTTTAATCTCAGAATTCTGACGTTTTTCCTCAGAATTCTGAAATTAATCTCAGAATTCTGACTTTAATCTCAGAATTCTGACTTTTTTCTAAGAATTCTGACATTAATCTCAGAATTCTCACTTTAATCTCAGAATTCTGACTTTAATCTCAGAATTCTCACTTTAATCTCAGAATTCTGTCTTTTTTCTCAGAATTCTGAAATTAATCTCAGAATTCTGAAATTAATCTCAGAATTCTGAGGAAAAACGTCAGAATTCTGAGATTAATTTCAGAATTCTGACTTTTTTCTAAGAATTCTGACATTAATCTCAGAATTCTGACTTTAATCTCAGAATTCTGACTTTTTTCTAAGAATTCTGACATTAATCTCAGAATTCTGACTTTTTTCTAAGAATTCTGACATTAATCTCAGAATTCTGACTTTAATCTCAGAATTCTGACTTTAATCTCAGAATTCTGCCGTTTTTCTCAGAATTCTGAAATTAATCTCAGAATTCTGACATTAATCTCAGAATTCTGCCGTTTTTCTCAGAATTCTGAAATTAATCTCAGAATTCTGACTTTTTTCAAAGAATTCTGACTTTAATCTCAGAATTCTGTCTTTAATCTCAGAATTCTGACTTTAATCTCAGAATTCTGACGTTTTTCTCAGAATTCTGAAATTAATCTCAGAATTCTGACTTTAATCTCAGAATTCTGAATTTAATCTCAGAATTCTGACTTTTTTCTAAGAATTCTGAGATTAATCTCAGAATTCTGACTTTTTTCTCAGAATTCTGAGATTAATCTCAGAATTCTGACTTTAATCTCAGAATTTTGGATCTTAATGTAGATGGGCACCATGAAGGAAGAGATGTGGAGCACTCAGCTTCACTGACAAAGATGTGAGTTGTTTGAGGTGACCAGTGACACATTGGTTTGAAAATGACGGAATTAGGCAACTTTTTACGTGCCAGAGGGGTCCCCTCATTAATGGAGGAGCAGAAGGTCATTAAAACAAGAGAGCTAGTCTCTAAAACAGACATGGCTATGGCTTGATGCTAACATGTTTGTTAGCTGTCAGAATTCTGAGATTAAAGTCAGAATTATGACTTTTTTCCCATATTAAACTGATATAAAATTTAAACATCAGTTAACTTTTTTTTTTTTTTCCAGTGGCCCTAATCCTCTTCTGTAGGAAATAAGGCAACGCAAGGCACATTTATTTGTATAGTACACTTCAGTACAAAGACAATTTAAAGTGCTTTACATGATTAAAATACAGTTTTTTTAAAAAGTTTTTTTTTTACATGATAAAAACAGAATCAAAGCAAGTAGGAAAAAATAAAATAAAAAATGCAGAAACAAAAAAACATATTAAAAAACTAAATAAAATAAAAATGTTGAACTAAGATGTTTCAGTTGAACTGTTTAACTAGAACAGTCGAGGGCAATCCTAAACAAATGTGTTTTTAGTCTTGATTTAAAGGAACTCAGGCTTTCCGCACTTCTACAGTTTTCTGGAAGTTTGTTCCAGATAAGTGGAGCATAGGAACTACATGCTGCTTCCCCATGTTTAGTTCTGGTTCTAGGTATGCAGAGCAGGCTGGAGCCAGAAGACCTGAGTGGTCTGGAGGGTTGATACACTGATAGCAAGTCTGTGATGTATCTAGGGGCTAAGCCATTCAGAGATTTATAGACTAGCAGAAGTATTTTAAAGTCTGTTCTCTGAGATACAGGGAGCCAGTGGAAGGACTTTAGAACTGGGGTGATGTGCTCTACTTTCTTAGTCTATTAAGACCATTGACAGTGATTATTTGTTCAGATTTATCTTCTTCAATAATTAGTTTACAGAGAAGCCACTCAGACAGCAGAGCAGATATTTTGATAGAAATCCAGCAAACATTATATAGAATTCAAATGATGGGCATTACAGTCATATTTTTGTGGGTACCAGCACATATGGGAGTTAAAGGAAATGAAATGGCAGATAAGGCTGCAAAGGAGGCTACAACAAGAAAAGATATTGATGTGTCAGTTAAAATTAGTAAGATGTAAATAAAGAGCCTTATTAAACAGAAGATGAAGGAAAGGTGGCAAAAGCAATGGGAGGAAGAGAGGAAAGGAACGATGGTTTGACATGATTCAGAGGAGAGTGGGAGAAATGAGATGTGCAGGGAGGATTATTCAAAATAGGTAAATATAACAATAGCAGATGTGAATACTGTGAGCAACAAGAGACAGTTGAACACTTTATGGTATACTGTAGGAAGTATGAAAGAGAAAGGAAAGAAATGGTTCAAAACCTAAAAATGGAAAGAATACAATTTGATTTAATAGAAATAGAGATAAGTGTTATGTAATTGTTTTTCATTATCTTAGAGTAATAAATGTAATTGTTTGTTTTTGTTTTGTTAATTTGATTGTGACTTGTTTGTTTAGTACAAATTATCAGCCATTCTAATCCACGCTCCATACCAGTTGGTGGCGGTAATGCACCATTTCGTTGCGTGCCAACCGCCAATAAAATTCCATAAAGAAGAAATATTTGACACCTTCAGGCTCTGAGGCAGCAGGCTGCAGAAACCTCAGAGAAACCAGAACATTCTAGGCAGCTTCATCTAGATTAATTTATTCCGAATCAGAAGAAGCTAAATATTGATCAGACTGAGGATCTGTTCTTTCTAAAGGATGTTAGTCAATAAAACACCTGGTTTTTAGGGGAAAGTAGATCCACTAGATTATCATGGGGGGCCTTAGCCAATCACTGGCCACCCCTACCATTTTCCCCCCTCTAATACAGATGGTGGCAACATTAATACTCTCAAGTGGAATATTTAAAACATGTAAATTTTTCATATATTAACAATTGCTAACAAAAACAGTGTTGTTAATTCTGCACATCAATATACTTCCATTAAATATAATAAGTACAGAATTCATGCTCTTTACAGAACTAGATTTTGTGTTTTATGAGGTAAAGAGAAAATGATGTGTCTTTGCATCTAAGTCTTCAGTAACATTACTGATAAATAGCTATTATGATAAAATATATTAAATAATCAATTTATGTAGATATTAGTACTTGTAAATATCAATTATATGCAGAATGATTATTGATAAAGTAGTTAAATAATGAAAATGGAAAAGATGTTCGCCCAAAACTCAAACCTCAAAGAATTGTATCCACTGTACCTTTTATCTAGAAAGCACAGATGTTTAAATATTTATGTGTCTATTTGTCAGCAAAGGTTGTAGGAAAGTATAGTTATTCTTTATTTAGAAAATATGGATGTTGTACTCGTTAATTTTCCTATTGTAGATTGACCCTGAGGTTCTGGTGCCTGTCGACTTTCGGCCAAAAAACTTAAAAAAACTTCTGGCTACGCCTCTGAATCCTGATACACAAGGGTTAAATTATAAGAATAAATAAGAATAATACTGTAAAATAAATATATATATGTTAAAAAAATGTTAAACCATGCATAGTCTATGAATAAATGTATTTCATGGTTTTAGGAAAATTCTAAAGATGTAAATAAAATCAAACAATCTTTTTTTTTTTTTTCCTTTTTCCTCATAAAGCTTCCAGACAAACATGGACAAACTAGTTACTACACCCTTTAATGAAAGAAAAACCCACAATGGTCACAGAAATAACTTGAATCTGACAAAAGTAATAATAAATATTCAAAGAAAATGAACTAATGAGAGTCAGACATTGATTTTAAGCCATCCTTCAACAGAATGATGTTAAAAATCTCATAAACAAATGATAGTTGTCCTTAACTTAGTGTTTTGTTGCGCAACCTTTTAAAGCAATCCCTGCAATCAAATGATTCCTGTAGCTGTGAGTCAGACTCCAGGTATTGTGCTCCTCTCTTCATCAGCAAACTGCTTTAGTTTCCTCCTTCTG